TATTAATTTAAAGTTTATGAAAAAACATCTAAAAATATTTAATTACCATATAGACACGATATGAATTTATATAAAAAAGTTAATTACCAAAAATGTGATAGTAAAAAATCTTCCAAACATGGACGTGAATTGACTTCATATATAGACGTGCAAATCAGACAATGTAATCTTTATGCATATAATAAAATAATCATTATAACTCATAAACCCATGAATTGACAAAATACTTAACCATAGAATTTATATTAGTAAACCACGAATTCCTATAATGGATACATAAAAAGTAGGCATAATAACTGTATAAATGCACACGGCACAACATTATTATGATCAAAGATATGTCATTATTTAGGACACCACGAAATTTTTAACTCTTTTACGCAGACATGTAAATAAAAAATATTATCCAACAATAAAAAAATCATTCACATGGAATGAAAGTAATCACAATAATCATTCTACAGCTATAGATTATATATCCACCAAAATATTGATTCCCATATTACCTTCCGTCGATTTATGTGTAATAAGAAGATAACTTAAAATTTCTTTAGAAACAGATGATGTCGTCTTCCTTTCTTTTAGAGAATACTAAACTTGAATTATTAAAAATTATGCTATCTTGCTGATAACATATTATGAACAGAGAGAAAAAGAGAAGAGAAAATAAAATTCAATAAACTTGTATATATTATAATGCGAATCAAAACTCTATATTATAGAAAAAGATTATTGATACATATGATAATAATTTATAGAACTACAATAGTACAATTGTCATTTATCAATAACTTATCATTCACAATAATGTATTTTTTTCCCAAAATCAATTATAGCCACTGTTTGGGTGAGAATAGTAATAATTGTCCTATTGACCCGATCGAAAGTTATTTTTGGCCTTTGACCAGTTTTATCCATTAAAAAAAAAACTTTTCATTTTCTTTTTATCCTTTATATCCTTCAACCCTAAAGAAAAGAAAACGATTGTTTAAACTCAATAGTGAAGAAGACAACGGCT